CACCTAGAAGAAAAGTCGGCAGTGCCTGATGCGGCACTAAGCAAGGTGCTTGCCATGCTTGGAGACCTATCTGATTGGATGAATCGGATGGAGTTCTCCAAGAAGGAGCATACCGGTGGACACCGGAAGGACTCTGCGGAGTCAAGCGTCTTTGGTTCGGCTCTGGGAGCGGGTGGAGGGATGAACATCCAGGCTTTGGAACTTACACCTCCCCGGAAGAGGTCACCGAATGACGTGTCGCCGGCTACGTACTTTGGAGCCAGGCGACACTACGAAGCTGATGATGCAAATCATCGAGCAGGCCATGTTGCAGCAGACCGCAACATGGGATAAGCACCGGAACCTGCACATTTTATGGCAGTGGTGCCAGGCTATTACCCCGACGCGGGTATGCCGAACGTGATGCATGCCAACCCGGGACAACAGGTTGTGGGGATGCCAGATGCGCAACATCGGAAGCTTGCACTACAACTTTTGATGGGAAGGAACTATACCATGGCCTTGGTAGTGGTTTCCTCGGATGGGGCAAGGAATTTGTGCGTCAAGTTGGTTTTGCCGAGCGTGCGTGTGGATTCACGTGTCCGGAAGACATCAAGGTGGATGTCTTAGGACAACACCTGGCCGGTAAGGCACAGACGTACTATCGTCGTCAAGTGGAGACTTGGTGGTGTGAAAGTCAAACCCTGGAGCATGCTATGCAAAGGCTGCTTCAGACCTTCAGCACCAAAATCACGCCTGCCCAAAGCATGAAATTGTTTACGGCGCCCAAGGAACCTCACAGAAGTTGGACGGACCATTCCCTGTTTAGTCAGTGATGCTTGCGGAGGGGCAAATACCCTGGTGTTGGATAACATCGTCCATTACGCGGACCCGCATATGCGATAAACCATGATGTCCAGGCTGAACATTCATCGGACCGACTGCTTGCGCCAAGCCGAGGAATTGGCACAGTTCGCCCCGTCAACGGAGATTGACAACCACGCGAAGTATCTCGGACGTGACGTGGTCAATGCTGTTGAACCAAGGAAGGAGCCAAGAGACAAGGTCAAGCACAAGGTGCTGAAAGAATCGAATGACAATGACCAACGGACGTGCTACAGGTGCGGCGAGGTGGGAAATATCAAGTCGATGTACTCCAAGAGACAGATGTCCAATGTCCAAAGACCAAGTTTCACATATGCGATCGACAATGGTGATCGTTAAAAGAAAATCACTGGATCCTCGACAATGGGTCGAGCAGACATCTTGTCAACGACTTGTTTATGCTTGTCAACCCGAGCGACTGTCGAAACGAATGCTTGACAGCCGCAACGGATGGAGGTGTGCTCCGGATTACCAAGCAAGGGAGTGTCAACATTGAAGTTGTTGCACTCGGGGTTGTGAATACTATCCGACTCCTCAATGTACAGTACGCCGCGAACCTCGAGCGAAAAATTATCTCGTATGGTAAAGCTCGAGGCTAAGGGATGTGTACTTGAGTACCGAGGAAGGAGACGTGTGTTAACCTCTGGGTTTGGAGGTGCACAGGTTATAGATGTGGATTGCAATAACAATGTGCTAGTTGTTGCAGTGACAGGACCATGCAACAAGACCTCACATTTACCACCAAGGGAGATGACGGCTGCGATCAATTCACCTGAATATAAATCCGATTCGGATGTTCAGAGTGGTACCTTGATGCAGTTCCATCGTCGCTTGGGTCACCTGTGTTACAACACGATCATCAAGATGGCCAAAGACCCGGCATCTGGTATCAGGCTGACTGACACGAGGCGCATGCATTGCTTGGCCTGTGCACAAGGCAAGAAAATTAAGGCATCACATTCAAGGAAAGACTCAGGCCAAAATTCTCCCATCGATGTGATCGGTGGAGTAATTTGCTCCGACCTCAAGGGCCCGATGAAATCAAGGGATCATCTGGGTAACCGTTTCCTGGTTAATTTTATTGACCACAGCTCAAATTATTGCCGTGCGTTCTTGGCCAGATCCAAGGATGCTGCTGCCCTCAAGTTCAAGCAATTCCTGGTGAGATTTGAACGAGAGTTCAATTGCAAGATCCACGTACTACGCACGGACGGAGGTGGTGATTACAAGACCTTGGGCGTCTTTTGTAAGGCGATTGGAATCTCGCGTCAAGTCAGTGAAGCCAGAAATCAGGCAAGTAACGGCAAGGCTGAACGGATGCATCGGACTATTATGAACATCGTCCGAAGCATGGTGTTTGCTTCAAACCTGCCTTTGCAGTTCTAGGGCGACGCTGCTGAGTATGAAACATACATACTTAACAGAAGCAAGACCAAGTCGAATCCAGGTGGGGTGTCTCCGATGGAATTTCTGACCACGAAGGTGCCAACCCTGAACGACATTGTGGTGTTCGGCTCCACGTGCACGGTGCACGTGGATGCAAGGAACAAATCACTTGGAGAGCGAGGGAAGGCGGCCATCATAATTGGAAAGAGTGATGAGACTAAGGGATACAAAGTGTACATCCCCAAGGACAAGGTGGTTGTGGTAACGCAGCACGTATGCAACATCTAAACACTGTTGGATGGGCGTAACGGTCAAGACGACTCGTACACCGAAAGGATTGAACATCAGGAGGAGATACCGAACGATGACCAACCGAAGGTCCAAGTACCTTCAAGTGTCAAGAAACGGGCGGCAAAAGCCCGAAGTGGACGTAAGTCCGGATGGACTAGGGAGCGACACGGCACAAGGTCAACGAGCAGACGTGCTAAGGAAGTTGTTGGTGAAGGCCCTGCTGAACGACAGGATGTCGTGAATGCAGTCATCACTCAAGATCCAAGCATTATGGTAAAGCCATCCGAAGTGGTCATCGTCAGAAATGGACCACGGCTATGACTGAAGAGTTGGATGCTCTGAAGTCAAAAAGCGTGTGGACGGTTGTACTACCACGAAAAGGTGCACACGTCTTGCACAACAAGTGGGTCTATAAGACCAAGACTGATGCAAACGGGGACGTGGAGTGGTACAAGGCTCGCCTGGTGGTCTGTGGGAACGAGCAAGTGTTTGGTGTCGATTATACCCTCACGTTTGCTGCCGTCATAGATTTGGGAACGATTAAGTTGATTTTGGTGCTCTCCAGGCGTTGGAACGTGCCTTCCCGACATGGTGACGTGCCCAATGCCTACGTCAAGGCTGAAAAGGAGGAGCACCTTGACATCTACATGAAGGTGCCCAAGGGCATGGTTTTAAGTGACCAAGAGCCTAAGTCGCACGGCGTGCGAACATCAAGTGATCTGGTCGTCCTGTTGAAGAAGTCACTGTACGGGCTCAAGCAGACTGGAAGGCTCTGGTGTAAATTACCTGATTTAAAGCTACGTCAAGGTGGTTTACAACAATGCACCACGGATATGTGCCTGTACTACAAGTACAAGAGTGAGACGTGCACGGTGGTTTTCGTCTACGTGGACGACCTATAGTTTACAGGGACTGAACAGAAGGCCGTGGATGAATTTTTCATGGAGATGAGCTCGCTATCCATCAAGGACTTAGGCGTCGTCAACAAGTTTCTTGGTTTACGAATCGATTTGAACGACGTACCAGGATACGTTCTGGACCAAGAAGTCATGATCGACCTCTTGTTGAAGGAGTTCGGACTGGATTCAGCTAATGGGGTGAGGACCCCAATCGGGGACGAGTGCAATGCAGAAGTCGAGGACACTGTGGAATTCCTTCCTGCGAAGGGTGCAAAGGGCGAGCCAAGTGTGAAGTCGTTCCAGTCGCTGGTTGGGAGCCTGAAGTGGATAGCAAGGTGCACGCGTCCTGATATCTGCTTTGCTGCTCACAAGGCAACTAGGCAGACATACAAGCCTACGACAAAGGACTGGAAGATCGCAAAACGTATTGCAAGATACTTGAAGATGTCGAAAAGCTTGAAGTTGCACCTCAATGGTGTCATACCTACATCCAATGATGTTCGGGTCGGATGTTGGAGCGATGCCGATTTCGCTGCCGACAAGTCTGATCGCAAGTCAGTATCCGGGTGTGTCCTCATTATGGACGGAGCCGTCGTGATGCGGACGTGCAAGAAGCAGTCCGGGGTGTCGTTGAGAACGATGGAAGCGGAGTTCATCTTTGCGTCACAAGCGGGACGTGAATTGATGGGCCTACGGGAACTACTCGGCGAATTGAAGCTGAAGATAAGCGAGCCCATGCCGATGTGGGTTGACAACCAAGCGGCAATCAAGCAACTCGAGTCCGAGAAGAGCACCTCAAGCGCGAAGCATGTGGACATTCGTTTCAAGTTCATACTCCACCATGTGCGTGAAGTTGTCGTGCGACCAATATTTATCAAGTCTGAGGACATGATGGCGGGCATGTTGACCAAGGCGTTACCGGCACCAAGAATGGAAAACCTGCGATCGATGTTCAAGTTGAAGACCATCCAGGATGCAGTCGAGGAGGAGTGTTAGAAACGACCGTTTTTTGACAGGTTGCAAGGTGTTGAAGGTAATGGCTATACCCTGTGACCGGTAACTTGCGACCGCACCCGAATTGGCTAATGTTGTGACACACAGATGTGGCGAAGCGGGATAGACGAAGACTACAGACTAGACATGGTATAGTCGCAGTTGACCCTATCGTACATGTTAAAGCACTAGCGAAGGAGAGTAGTTAATGCTTAATATATTTTACTTTTACTTCTACCTCTACGTGCACAAGTGCACCACTACTTCACTCCACTCTTACAGTATACGCCTTGGTATATTTTCCTCATCTCGCGACCACTTTTCTAAGTTTTTGATTGAGTTGTATATATTTTTTATTTTTTCTATTTACATGTATTAAAGAGGAATATCGTAAGAATTTGAATTTATTATGATGTATTTGCAAAATAAAGAGACGTAACTGCAGCTACATGACAAGATATTTTTTTGAAAACATAAAGCAGTTCACGGTCCTCACGTCCTAGAGAACGCGGGCAAAGTGGGCGGATCAAGACGTGCCAATATTTCCATCGTCCGCATCGAAAGAGTCTACGAATTGGCGTGTTTTGAGAACGTACTCCGGATAAACTTTCGCCATCGGGGGCGCTCCAGAGCTTGCGGATCGGAACGACGATGTTGAAGCTGCTCCTCCATTTCAGAAATGTGTGGGGGTGCGCAATCCTGAATCGAGTGGCGATTAGTCTGTTACAACATCACCCACACGTTTTATAAAATCAGCACCGCCTGTACCAGTTGTCCATGAGAAAAGGTTACCCACCTGAAGACGGCGCCTTCGATTGTTAGGCCCACCCGATGAGAGTGAACTGTTTTGCGCCTGCTGTGGCTGAGCTTGCTTGATTTTGTTTCTCTGTTTTTCGAACTTATGGTCTTCCATGCGCATATGCTCTAGATACGGCTCGCCTGCAGAATACAGTAAACGTTAACCTGGTAACTTCAATACCAGTATCATTCCCACAAGTACCGTTCCAGCGGAAGACCACACCAGTCTCTTTTTCCCACTTCGCGATCCGGTTCAGCAACATTGCGGTATACCTTGGCAACTCCCGTTCAATATGAAGGCGTGTTCGCTCGTCCGGAACGCCATGTCTGAACAAACAAACAGAAACTACAATTATTTCACTGACGAATGAATACCAAATCGGCACTATCCGATTCGTACTCCGCGCGAGCTTGCAGAATTTCCTCGCGCTTGACAACATACTACAACATCGCAGTGTAGCAACAACGGTCAACATCCAAACGAGGTGCAACAAGATAGTAGACGTACGTGAGTGAGAAACTTCATGGCAGACACATGACGTTTAAGCCGCTCCGCTTCTTTTTCATGGGCACGAAAGATCCTGTAGGATAGCTCCGTGTCCGGAGTCGTCATCATAGCAGTAAACGGAATGCGCTGGTCGGGGTCGTATCCTAGCAGGTCCCAGTACTCTGTGATGGTGTTACGCAGGTTCGCAACCTGGACAGCAGTCGCAGAAAATCGCTTGTGGTGACGTTGGAGTCTTGTCAACTCGGCCTCGCACTACAAAATAGACGTATCAGCCGATTGCGAGATCTTGAAACTGAACAAGAAAATGATCTCACCGACGCGAGTGCAGCTTTACCAACTCCATGGATGGTCATTTGAAAACGTTCCTGCTCTTCGTCCGATATCTACCGACATGCAAACAAACATTCGTTCAAAACGAAGTACAAATCAAGCGTAGCGCCTGTCGTTCACGTACTTTTAATTCCTGCCATAGATCGCGAATTTGCCCTAGCATATCCGCCAAACACGCCTCTTGTCTAACTTTCATCTCTCGAAGCTCCACAGTCCTTCGCGAAATCTTCTGCAGCATTCTGGTCGACAAATCTCTCTCCTGCTTGGCACGTACGAAACCAAAACACCCCATCATTGTCCACACAGGTTCTAATCATCAACAAACATGGTCTTGGGCTTGGTAAAACGCGCACCTTTAAGCGAGCATTGATTTCTGCTTCAAAAGTGTTTTCAGCTCCAATTTGGAGCTCTCGAGCGAGTTGCACACACTCACTTACAGCCTCCAGTAAGGCAGCTCTTCGTGTGTGCTGGTCGAATGAACGAGTTACAAAAGCAATACAACGACAATTAAAGTTTATCACTTACCACTTCACGTGACCTGCTTTTAACCAGGTCCTGCAAAGCTACTTTGAACTCTTCACTGAGCTTGGAAATACCTGCAGGCTAATTCATTAACACTACATTAACAACGTTTCAAAACTCAACACTTTTAGTACGCTCCTTACGCACCAGTGTAGACGTGGTGCCCAGTTTCTTGTCCATCAAGCGTAATTGGTTTCTTAGCTTGTCAATTTCAGTCAACCGACTTGTACGAACCTACCATTAGCAATTGTTACGTCTATAGTTGCATAAGTCTGTAAATAAAAGTGATGTCCGTACACTCTCGAGAAACTTGAGCTCCATTTCAAGCGCTGCAGCTCTATCGCGAAGAGTGCCACTGCACAACTTGTCCAATGACTGTATACACCAACCTGTGGACTGCATTTAACAATAATCAGCGAGAGATTATAAGATCAAGTTCTAGTATAGCCTCAGTCTCACCTTGTTGCCTTGGAACTGCGCTTTGATGGTCTGCACCTCTTTCTCCAGCTCTGTCACTCGACCTTTTGCGTGATCAACTTCATTGCGCCATGTTCTCACTGTAGATTGACAGCTTTTTTTTATGGTATCAAGCATGAGCTCCTTCTGTTGCAGCTGATCTTGCTCAGATAGTCCAAACGTTTGCCACAAGTCTCGTAGCTGCGTGAACGCATCAATTACAAGTGATTGTACGACCAATTCAACGTTGTTATCATGATCTTTACAATCAAGTTCATACTGCATTGTCTTCTCCTTCAGTGACATATTTATCACTGTCTATTGCTACTGAATCCGAAGAAAAGGCAAGAGGTGTTGACACCAGATCGTGCTGACGTACTTGCAGCATCTGATAATAGCTACATTGTGTAGCCTACCCAAAAAACGAGAACGAGAGTGTACCACACATCCGACAAAGGTTTTTATATCATCCTCCAAGGTTTTTTCTATGGGTGGTGGTCGTCGCATGCACGCACTTCCAATGACCTCCAGCCACAATTCATCGCTCTTTGAAAAGAATAAGGACTCAATCGCAACAACAACAACATGGCTACGCAACGTGAGGAGGACATTAAAATGATGCTGGCCGCTCAGGTCCACATTGGTACGCGCAATGCTGACTCGAAAATGGCTGATTACATTTGGCGCCGTCGTAATGATGGAATTCACATTATCAATGTGGGCAAGACATGGGAAAAGCTCATGCTCGCTGCTCGTGTGATTGTGGCTGTCGAGAACCCGGAGGATGTGATTGCCATTTCTGCTCGTCCGTATGGTCAGCGTGCGGTGCTTAAATTTGCCCAGCACACTGGCTGTCAGGCTATTGCTAGTCGCTTTACGCCTGGTACGTTCACGAACCAGATCACCAAGCAGTTTCGCGAGCCGCGTTTGCTAATTATCACGGACCCACGCACTGACTCACAAGCCGTGCGTGAGTCTTCGTTCGTAAACGTTCCTGTGATTGCCTTCTGTGATTCGGACTCGCCCCTGCAGTTCGTGGACGTGGCAATTCCGGCCAACAACAAGGGCAAGCTGTCTATTGGTCTGCTCTACTGGCTGCTTGCCCGTGAGGTGTTGCGTCTTCGTGGCACGATCTCACGCACTTTGCCGTGGGAAGTCGTTGTGGACCTGTTCCTTTACCGTGACCCGGAAGAACTCAAGAAGGCTGAGGAAGCTCAGGCTACCGCTGCGGAGGAAGCTCAGACTCGCGCGGGTTGGGCCGATGCCCCGCAGACCTTTGCTGAGCCCACTCTGTACGCTGCTGAGCCTGCTACTCCTGCACCCACTGCTGCTGCTAGTGCTGAGTGGACGTCAGCTGGCAACTCGGAGTGGTCGGGTGAAGCTGGCGCCGTGCCGGCTGCCTCGAATTGGGATACCCCGGCTCCTTCTGCTGCCCCTGGCGGATGGGATTAAGCATGTTGTTGCTGCCATCTTGTACAGGACGGTCAGTTACTTGTGATGCTGAATCTCGAGTTGTCCATGCTGCCAAGTTCTCGCTCTTTTCAATGATGAAGTAGGTTGGTGTTTGTTATACAGGATGACAGTGATATTGCTATGTGGAAGTGGACGCATGGAATAAACGACGGTGTTATGCGATGGCACCTGGTTAATGTGACCAATAGCTCCCGACATAGTCAATACACTTTTAAGGACAAACCCATTCATTTTCACAGTTTTGACTTTCTTACTTGATAAACAAACAACCTCGAGCCAATGAAAAAACTCCTCCTATAGTTGTAGTTTCTAATGTCTACCACATCATATTCAAAGAAGATCGAGCATACAAAACCTTATAGTCCTTCGCTCGCTCAGCCACTCGCCGCCTCGCAATAGGAAGAAATCCCAAAGCTAGAACGTCATGAGTGAACAGGACATCGTCACGGTTTCCACGACGCCCATAGCCACTAATTCACCACCTAATACCGAGGTAAAAAAAGAGTCAGAGGAAAAGAAAATCCTGGTGGACACTACGGCGGGAGAGACGACACTTTTAAAGCCCGTGGTTAAGCAGAAGGCGGCCATTGATGTCGACAAGACCGTTACACCCCCCGCGAAACGTCGTACCCCTAGCCCTCGTATGATGAAGAAATCCAAAGAATCGGACATAAAAGTAGCGGACGGTGAAGATACGGAGTCAGAGCCGGAGAAACCGCCAAAGAAGCGCGTCAAGACGACAAAAAAGACGGGAAAACCCCCTGGACGCAAGAAAAAAGTGGTGGTGGTTGAATCAGAAGAAGATCATGCAATGGATGAACAAATGGAAGCAGAAAAAAAGGTGAATGCATTGAGTGACGAGATCAAAAGTAGGTTTGGACAGATTGTCTGGGCTAAAATGGGTGGATATCCTTATTGGCCATGCATTATTACGGATCCGAGACTACTGCCTTCGAAATTACAAGAGACGGCGTTAAAGGTGTTGGAGACGAAATACCTTGTCTTTTTTTACGTGTCGAATAACTTGTACGTTTAGTTGTTGAGCTGATGATAGAAGGAGAATGAGGGGGATGGCTCATGTGTTGTTGTGGAATTTGGTACGTGTAGCGCCCCTGTTTCGTTTAAAAGGATTGAATCGTGGGATGATACCAAGTTTAAGTATCGTGAAGGACATCCGGAGAAGGATTCGAAGGCCCCGAAACGACGAGTTAAACTTATGGAGGCAATTGAAGCAGCAGATGTGAGTGAACTGGATGGAAGAAGACGAGAAGATTGAGTTTTTTGTCTAGACTAAATGTGTATTTTGTTGTGTGTCGGAGCAGAAAGAGACAAAGTTGCCGATTGAAGAGCGAGCGAATGGTCTTGTAAGGCCGATAGAGAGAGCTGAGAAGCCGGTCGAGATGCCGGCACCTGCCAAACGAAAGCCAGGCCGACCACCAAAAAACAAGACAGCTGGTAATGCTGTACCGAAGAGTACGCCGAAAAAGCGACAAACAAAAGGCGATGACGCGAAAGAGATGGCGGGTGGCATTGGAGGAAAAGAAGCTATGGCTGTGACCACACAAGAAGAGGAAGAGGATGCAACAGGGTCAACGCTCAGCAAGGAAGAAATTAAGGCAAAGGTGGCAAGCCGCAAAACGCCAAAGAAGAAAGGAACTGATGACAGCGTCAATGCTGCAGGAGCGTCCGTAAAGAAGGCGCATAAAGTCATTGCCAAGCACGGGAAATTGAACGGCTCTGCTGAGATTGATAGCAAGCGAAAGAAGGAAATTGAGCTTGTGGTTCCTCACAAGACCGTGAAGTCAGCTGATATTCGTGAGATGACGGAGGAAGCTGCCAGGAAGAAACTGAGTGGTCCGAGAAATAAGAAGAAGAAAGACAAGGGAGCCTACCAAGTTGGCGATCTTGCCTCGTTTGCGAGCAAAATGGCACGGCTGCATGCAAAAGAGTCGGCTCGGAATAATGATGAGCTGGTTGGTATGATGGAACAGCTGTTTAAGGAAACGCTCATGTATCGTTCAGACGTGGAAAGATCGGGTTTGGCTGCCATTATTGCTATATTACGCAAAAGCTTAAGCCCTACTGTGGGCCAGACGGCAAGCGCACTTCGAAAGCACATGATCGACATCTTGGAAGACGACACAGATATGAAACCCCATTTAGGCAAGAAGCCGCACGAAGGTGCTTCTGAACACGGTACAAAGAAGCGAAAGGCTGAAAATGGCAGTTCTGTGAAGCCAGAGGAGCAGCAGCAATCTTTGGTGGATTCGTCATCCTTAGCTACAGCAAACACGGACGTTAAAGAAAATGTGGCGAAAGCTGCTTCGCTACCTGTCACTGCACCACCTACAAAGGAAGCAGAGGACGCGTTGCCAAAGGAGGACGTAGTGATGAAAATGGAGCAGGTCAGTAGTAAGCCAGTCGAAGATGTGCCAGTGAAGGTTGGAGCTTCGAATGTTGTATCGCTGAAAGCTGAGCATGCCGTTAAGATTGACAAACCAACTGCGGATAAGCGATCATCGTCTTTGGACGAAAAACCCGGCAATGGTGTAATGAAAGACAATGAGGACATACTTGAAGTACAGGATCACGTTGACAAGAATCGAATCACCGTCGTGGACATGCTGCGCAAAATCCTTGACAATGGCAAGTCAAAGGGCGTGGACGCGGCAAAAGAGATTGAGGTGAAGTGAAATCTGGTTTCTATTCATCTCAGGCACCGTTTAAAAATCGCAATCTGACTCTGTTGTGCGAATATCTTACGATTCTGTAGGCAGCATTGTTTGAGCGATTTAAGGAGACCAACGACGATTATTTGGCCCAAGCGCGTATCATCATATTTGGCCTGAAGGAGAACGCTCCTATGCGAGACCGGCTTTTCTCTGGTGCTATGCACTGTCTGGAGTTTGCTTACGCTGATGATGCGGTAAGTGAAGCTGTTTATTGATTCACGACGCGAGTGATATTCACGGCTGCTATCTTGTTGGTTTGTTTAGTTTTTCTCCACGACGACGGAATGATTGATGCATCCACATCTTCCACAAAGTTGTAAGAACTCTCTCACTGCATGTTTCGGGGGCTAGTTGTTAGCTGACACTAGCCTTCGAACAACAAGCAAATGGTCATGAAGTATAACGATGTTTTACACCTATCCTGCAATTCTCGTCCGAGTTATCTCCTCAATCTCGTCTAACTTTTTCCTATTGCCTGAGTCGAGATGGTTTCGTCAACGTCTCGTTCGCATTGCAGTCTCCCGTAACTCTTCGAGCACCACACCTTGCCTTTCTACAACGCTGCGTTAGCCACTTGACTGGATATAGTGTGTTCCCTATGATCGGCGTTCCTTCACTTCTTGCTAATACAAGTTAAAACGCTGGCATAGACCTGTGCGTTTCATGTTGCGTCGTACATTACAGATCACACACAATCGAGTTGACAAACCAGCTGAGTCATTAGCTGACTTAAGCAAAATGTACGGAAATGTTTCATGATATTTTCAGAACCTGTAAAATTTAGGATAAAGCTACAATAAAATAGGATAAAAACGTTACCTTCATCTTACAATCGTACCCCTGTTACATTTACCGGTATTGTACCGCGCCGTTGATAATTATCTTCTTTTATTCAGATCATGGCACGTGCTAATCTCTTGCTGAGCGCCGAGCTTGAGCGTGCGTTCGCCGCCGCACAGAATGGCAAGCTGCGTTATGTTAAAGTTTCTATTGATAATGAATCGTTTGTAGTAAGCGCCTCTGGACCTGCGACGTCAGAGCCCCACGACGATGTAGCGCAGCTGGTGACATCGTCTCTGAATGCAGAGGAGGCGGCATTTGTACTGCTGTGTCCCGACACAAATGTCTCGGCGTTACGTTGGGTGCTGTTAGCTTTTGTCCCCGAAAGTGTAAGTGTACGCGACCGTATGTTGTACTCCTCGTCACGTGATTCGCTCAAAAAACAGCTGGGTCTTAATTACTTTTCAGGGGAATTTCACGCGACGGAATTGGTGAGTTTTTTATTACTGAGCGACCTCTAAAGAGAACTAATGATGACTAATGAGAGAGATATGGGGTATTACTTGCGTAGCATGAAGTGACGTGGAAAAGCTTCCTCGAGGCAAGGAAGAAGCAGGCAGCAGATGCTCCTCTGTCCGAATCGGAGCGACTGCTGAAGGAGGCAGCCATGTTGGAGCGTGACACGAATGTAAAATCCAGTGCCATGGGTGTTGTACCTTTTCAGATTACGCAGAATGTGCGTGATAAGCTCAGGCTGCTCAAGGAAAACAAGTTTGACTGGATATCAATGGTGAGGGATTAGAGTTGGATGGTGCTTTGGAAGGATGCTGATGGTTATTTTTTGTATAGAAATTGAGCGAGAATAATGAGAGTGTCGAGGTGGTAAAGAGTCTTGAGAACTTGGAGCTTAGTGACGTGTCCTCTATTCTTGATCGTCACACTCCGAGCTTTGTAGCGTATCGCTATCGTGGTCCGTTGGCTTCGAATGCTACGTCGGCACTGGGTGAGTGGCTTGTTGGATCCCTTTTACTCGTTTTGTTGACCAGGTTTTCGTTGTTTGATGATGCACTAGTTTTCATGTACGTGTGTCCGGAAGATTCTCCCGTGAGACTGAAAATGGTCTATTCGACATGTAAGGCTACAGTACTCTCCGTTGCTAAGGAAGAGCCCCTCAACATTACGTTTGATCACACGGTAAGTTGCAGGATTTTGTGGCTCAGTACGACGTGCACCAACCGATGTTTTGTTTTTATTTTGCTTTCAGATTGAGATCAATACCCCGACCAGTGCAGCCGACGACATTCGATCGGAGTTAGCCTCGCTAAAGACCGAGGAAGAGCTAAAGCCACGCGAGTTTGCACGTCCTGCTGCTCCTGGAGGTCGTGGACGCGGTCGAGGTCGAGGTCGCGCTTCTCCTGGTGCCCATTGAGTGGGATCCTCTTGAGCTACACTTGTAAAATCAACAGTAGACGTCAGACGCTCATGTCTACTATTAAACAAGGTCATACGCAAAGTGTGAACGGCAAGAATTGAACCTAGTTCCACAGGCTCTAGCCTGTCACCCTAAGGGGTCCCTACTCTCGCTGTCACCTCGAGCAGTCAAGTTGCTTCATCTGCATTAAAGCTTTCTATTTCCTGCCTTTCTTCTTTCCCTTCTTCTTCCCACCACCAGACGACGTCGTAACTGCTCCGGCAGCCGCTACTGCCTTACTCTTGGCCGCCTCCGCCTTTTTCTCGAGTCGCGCCTTGCGGGACTGCAGCTTCGGGATGAGCTCTGCCATCTTAATCATCAATGTCTTGCGATTCGGAATTTCGGGATTCTCTAACGATCCGTCGTCACGCACGAGACGAACCCGAATACGACCGGACACGACCCAGTCTCGCGGGTACTTTTTGCTCAGCTCCAGCACGTGAGGCAGTTTGAAATACGTGCAAACCTCCGACATTTCGTCGGCAATAGGAGACTCACACGCCTGAAGCTTCGAGATGCGACGTCCTTGCTGTACCGTCTTCTTGCTGTCGAGATAATTCGGATAGAATGTAAAGAACGTCGACGTGGGGCTGCCCTCGGCCAGTCCATAGGCGTAAATCATCTTATGTTTCATCTGCTGCATAGGCGGCACCATCCCAGGCATCCCACCCATTCCACCCATCCCAGGCATTCCACCCATGCCAGGCATCTCCGCCCATGCCAGGCATCCCACCCATGCCAGGAATCCCACCCATGCCAGGCATCCCACCCATTCCCTGCATCATCTCCATCATCTGGGACATATCCGGCATGCCGCCTCCTCCACCAAACATTCCCATGAGGTCCGCCGGATTGAATCCACCAGGTTGCCGCCGTGTGCGATTCGGACGACTTGACATCGGCTGTACCACCGGGATAGCATTCGAGTCATAACGCTCGCCTGCAACGCTGTCCTTAGTCCGGCCCTTACGCACCATTGTCAGCCGCGTTTAAAGTTGGGGCACTTGATTGGGACAACAACAAATGAATAGTGTGTGTGTGTGGTACATAAGAGGTATGGCATTTTGTACATATCGGTCATTGTACTACAGTGGTTTTCAATATTTTTATTTGTATCTTTTGAGCTAATTACAAAATTTCAATATCAAACACAAATTTGTGTAAAAGTATTAGAAGGACTTTTTGCCAAATGCGTTTTAGTCAATTCTGTCACTAAAATTCATGTGTAAAAGTTTTTCAAAAACGTGTCGTCTGAATGTATCCCATCATGCGGTCCTCAGCTCTTAAAGATACTTCATACAAACGTCAAGTCATTTGGCGGTCCCTACGACAAACGTCAGGCCACGCAGGTACATTAGCAGACCCTCGCTTTTGAACAAGAGCAAGAGAAACGATGGACCGCTTTGCGATTGATAAGATCAAGAACGTCATGGATGACGCGTATGTATACCCCTTACGACTTAAGTAGTTCTTCCTTGCTGTGAAGTAGCATTAACTCAGAAATCTTATGCTCTCTATATGTAAAACAATAGGAAGAGCATAGTAAAAGCCAAGATGGGTACAGACGTAGAACGCAAGATAGAAGAGGCACTATCGAACAAGAACTGGGGGGCATCTAGTACACTGCTGAATGAGATATCCCAGCTTACTTATGACTTGTAAGGGGTGAAGTAGTTGTAGTGGAAGACATGCTCTTATGCTAACAAAATGTAATGCTCTACAACTGTAGTGAGTCCTATGGAGTGATCATGCGGAAGATCTGGGAAGCCATGGACGCTGAAGGACGACAATGGCGTTCGGTATACAAGGCACTGAGTCTATTGGAACATTTGATCAAGAATGGCACGGAACGGGTGATCGAGAATGCTCGTGATCACATGTTTAAACTGCGCCACCTCTCGAGTTTCTCATATCATGATGGAACGGTTGACAGGGGCAATGGAGGTGAGAAAAAAATGATATCGGAGCTTTTTTTTTGACTGATTTATACAAGTTTGTGATGATTTCTGTGTTTTGTTGTTAGTTCGTGACAAAGCCAAACAGTTAGTGGATATGTTGAATGACAATGACATGATTCGCACTGAACGTGAAAAAGCAGGACGTTTGCGCAATAAATACGTTGGTATTGGAAGCGGTGTTGGCGGTATGATGGGAGGAGGGAGTTTTAGCGGCAGTGGTGGCTACAGTGGAGGTGCTGGCTACAGCGGAGGTGCTGGTTACAGTGGTGCTGGTTACAGCGGTGGAGGCAGCACGAGTTACAGTGGTGGCGGTGGTGGTGGTAGTGATCGTGGTAGTAGAAGCTATGGAGACAAGGAGTCGAAGGAGAAGGAGAAAGGCTACTCTAGTCGCTATGCTGATGACGAAGGTAGGTTGTCGCTGTGGTATCTTTCGTGAATACCTGTCCGTGCTAACACGGTGTTTTTGCTGTTGTGTGCGTTGGTAGATGATGGAAGCGAAGAATCCGAATCGGAAGAGGAAGTGCGATCAAAGCGACGAACGGCGTCGTCAAAGCGAAAGAGTGCAGCAAAGAAAAAAGAGGTAGGCATTTTTTGTGATGCAGATTTTTTGTTGCGTTATACTAAGTTTAGCTGGCATGCATTCGTTTTGACATAAGACTGAGAGCAAGTCCCCAGTAAAAGCACCCTCTGCAGAACCATCCCTTCTTGACGGCGACTTCTTGAGCCCTGCTCCTGTGGCAGGTATGATTTGCTATTTTTATTGACAAGGACGCCGTTGATAATTCAGCTTACTAAATTTCACTTGTAGCGAACACATTCGACCCTTTTGCACCAGAGCCAGCGTTTGCTGCACCTCAAACGGCGTCATTTGCCGCTTTTGGCAATGCTGCGGTCGCCGCACCACAACAATCGTTCGACGCATTTGGCACCACGCAGCCTCAACAGCCACCGCAAGCCTCGTTTGATGCATTTGGGAATACTGCTGTCTCTGCACAAGGAAACGTCCAACAGTTTGCTGCATTCCCTTCAGCCCCGCCTCAGCAGGGTTTTAATGCATTTGGTCAGCAAGGAAACCCTCCGGCTCCTCCTGTCTCTATCTCTGCCTTCAACCAGCAACAGCAACAGCAACAGCAACAGCAACAGCAACATCAATTCGGTCAGTTTGGTCAGTTTGGTGGAATGCAAGGCAGTGTACAGCAATCAGCGCAGGGTGGCTTGAGAATGCAAAATGCAGCTCAGAGTCAGCCAAGAACGAACGTGGCCCCGAATTCGGTGGAAAAGAAAACGAGCAATGATGCGTGGGGAGCTGGCTCGTCGCTCTTCGACCTGAACAATCTGGGGAGCTCTACTGGCAATCATAGCAGCAAAGCAGGTCATCCGGGTCAGCATCCACATCACCAGCAGCTACAGCAGCAGTATTCCAATGCTGGCCACAACAGCTTCAGTGGTCTGGACACACTTGCTGGAATGCCCAGTAAGCCTGTGATGGGAGGCGCTGGCGGTATGAACCCCAGTGGTGCGGGTATGGTTGGAATGAACTACGGAGGTGGTACTATGGGCCAAGGTGGTATGCAGCAACACCACGCGTATGGTCAAATGGGCCAAGGCGGCATGGCTATGGGTGATATGCAGCCCCGACCTATGATGGGTAATATGAGCATGCAACAACCAGGAATGGGTATGGGCATGGGTATGCAGCCTAGCGTGGGCGGGATGATGAACCAAGGTGGCTTCGGCGGGATGAGTACGATGCAACAGCACACAACAGCAACGGCTGCAGCCTGCATTTAATCAGTTCGGCAATTTTAGTTGAAGGGTCCCGTGATGATAGCACGCGGGAAAATAAAGGTTGCGGAATGTTTCGCTTGCTGAGAGGGAATACATGGCAAACACTGGAGTGCAAGTTGATGCCTAGTTCAAACTACTGGCTTGACCGTAGTTGCCGGTAAATGCTTTTGCAAAATGGATGATGTTCATGTGCAAGTCCTGCAGCATAAGCTTTCATTTGCTCCTTGTCAATTACAATAGAATCACTGCAACTGCAAGAAGAGTAAATTTCTCAGTGATCATTTAGCGCTTTGTTGAATTCAAAACGCCTCAATTGACATCTTCCCCCGCGTTATGACGCTGATGTTTCAGCGCAGAGGTGATAAATAATGGTGAGCATGTACACTTGGACTACTCATACTAACAGCTTTCCCCTCATGAGGTTCTCAGAGATGCAAGAACCTCGATAGCACCTTTTGCCGCAGTCGCTTGCCGCCCACGAAAACTTTCATTTTGGCTGCAAAAGAACCTCCTCGCTAATGTGAAGCACCATATTTCTGCTACTCGTAAATGCTAGTTGACCAGCTAAAGAGATCAGCTGTGATAGCTGGGTCGCCGAGTCAATAAGAAAGTTCCTTCAAGAACACGCTGAAAGTTGACCGTGCTTGTTTCCAAAGAGTGCGTTCTCTGGTGACTGCGGCTTCGTCGAACACCCCACGTCTTCCATCTCCTGATCTTGTTCAAGTCTCTGTCTAGCTGCAAATGTCTTAAACAGACTTCCACCAGCACTGGTACTTCGTGAATACTTACCCTTTGACGCTGCCAAAATATTAACTTGACTTGATGTTTTTTTCAAACTTCCCCGTAATTCCTCTTGTCCATCTTCTGTAACATCTACATCAACACATTTGCGTTTCCTCCATCCTTCTGGATGTTTAGTAAGGACATGAAAAGACGATGAAGCTCGTAATTGTCCTGGTATGGACACTTTCACTTCTGGACTTTTCTTGCTCAAGTGTCGTGGCGAAGAAATTGTAGTGTCCTCTTCAACGTCCTCCATGGGCATAATCTGTACCTCGTCCATACTCCATATTGTTTCAAGGTCGTTGTCATTATGTCCCAGTAATTGTGTCCCATTCTCTCTTCTCTGTCTTCGGCTTGGCACCACCTGTTGCTTGAGCTTTAACTGGGTTCTCAACACGTCTCGAGGCTGTGGAGACGATGGCGGCGTATTTGGACGTTCTGATGGCAATAATGAAAACACTTTAAAATGTTCCAAACGTGATTTCGTGCGTCGTCTCTCTTCTCTCTCGCCTTCTATAGCTTTTCGTCCGACAGCGATCCGCGTGAGTTTGTCTCGTAATAACATTAGATCGTCATGGTCGCTAACGAGCGAATTGCGACGTAATGTCGAGTTGCTGTTGACATTATTCATCGTCTTATGATGACTGGTAGCGTGGAAAAGGGGACTGGAGGGAGACGCCATTACGTACAAGAGGGACGAATCTGCTGCAAAAAGTCGTGCGGAAGAATTTTTTCGTCAAAAAAACGGGCGTTTGTTTCGAAAAGTTTTATTCGTGGAACGGGTTACTGTGTAGTCGTTTAATCTCTTGAATATTTGTACACAAACTGTATACGTTCTCAAAGGTTTATTAGCTTGTAAAATGTATACACACGTATAATTAGTGCCGGCTGAGGAGATTGGGATGTGTTTCGAGTATGGTTGCGAATGGGCTTCAATTACTTTTCTCCAAGGAAGTCGCTGTCTGAGAAGGCGTCGTCAGCACCTTGTACACTTTTATTAACGATGTAACACAATAGACACTGGGTTGTTGTCAAGTGTGCTTCTATTGTTTAAGATGTAACTTTGGCATTAACAATTAACGTGCGCTAGCACCACGTATTAACCTGATATTGTGCAGTGTGAATTGCGGGCTGTAACCTGATTCAGAAGTGAGTGCCGCGTTGTAAGATATATCCACATTAGGTTCTTGACGACAGAATGTATTGTTAATGACCATGAACAGATCGTTGTTCATCAGATTAATTTCTAGCTATCGCTCTTGCTATATATATAGTTAGAATAACACGATCTACATGTTCCTGTCTTCCTTGTAAAGCTGTAGAGGTTTCGTATCACTCAAGTCGTGTCCAAATGGCACCTACAGAGTTAAGTCCAGCTCCTGATGTGCCATAAAGGCCACCCAGCCGATGTCCGGAAGGTGCGGTTTCGCTACCGATATTTCTGGTGGGGATGCCACCAGAGATTAATCTATCACTGGTCATAAACTCAATGTAGAAGATGCGTATTTCACCGTCCTTCACGCGCCAATGGCATTCAATGGCAGTGATAATCTCATGTTGAGAAAGGGACCAAACATGTTCATTCCCGGTATTCCCACCGTGGTACATTTCTTCATACTTCCCTGATGATTGTGTAATTCCCAAGCCGACGCCGTCGACGCGCTCACCATAGCGGATTTTAATGCTAGTAACGGTTTGTCCACGCAAAACAAAATCCATGTCCGAGAACGGACGGCCAGTGTTACCGCCGAAAAGAAGACCCACTTTTGTATGATTCTTTGAGGCAGCAACCCTGCCTGCAATTAGTGCCAACGCTGCAACGAACAATCGCAACATCACTTTTTGTATGGATGGTTTATATGTAGAGATGCTTGTGCTTTACAGTGCGAATTTGGTAATGAGCAGATGCACGGGGCCAGCCAGCTTTTCCTGTCACAATTTATTTAAACTGATAACAATATATTGTTATCTGTATATTGGAATATATTGTAATCAATTCAAATAAATTGCACCCGATTAGCGTGTTCCAGTCAATTGTGAATGCGAGCAGCTACGTCTTTGTCGCGCCGTGTGCTGGTGCGTCATGCCGCGTCCTTCAGCACCGCCAAATCATCATCCTCAGGCCTTCACACTGCCGCGTATGTGGCAGTAGGTGGCGCTGCGGCGGCTGTTATGGCTGCCTACAATGGCGTGGTGCCCCACGAATGGGTCATCCGGCAGCTGACCGAGCCCTTAATGCCCGTGCTGCGGCTATTCGATCCAGAGACATCCCACCAGATTGCGGTACAATGCGCACGCTTCGGTTTGACGCCTAAGGACCCGGAAGAAGACCCGGAACTGCTCCACGTTAAGGCGCTGGGTCTCCAGTTTACTAATCCATTGGGCATGGCTGCTGGCTTTGACAAGGATGGAGAGGCCATGGAAGGCATGCTAGACATGGGTTTTGGCTGCGTTGAAATTGGCAGCGTCACCCCGAATCCACAACCAGGCAACCCCAAGCCCCGCGTCTTCAGGTTGCACGAGGATATGGGCGTGATAAATCGCTACGGGTTCAATAGCAAGGGACTGGACTATGTCGCTGCACGTCTCAAGCGTTACGTGGGCTCTCGTGCTAAACGCCAAGCACCAGGCAACGGCCATCGTTCTGGGGTCCTTGGAGTCAACCTCGGCAAGAACAAGTTGACGGAGGACGCAGCCGCCGACTACGTAAAAGGTGTGCACACTCTCGGCAAATATGCCGACTACCTTGTGGTGAACGTATCGTCCCCCAATACACCAGGTCTACGTACACTGCAGGGTAGAAATCAGCTAAAGAATCTCCTTGTGCGTGTGATTGATGCCCGTGATGAGGTTGCAACTACTGAAAAACGCAACATCCCGCTCCTTTTGAAGATCGCGCCTGACCTCACGGAGGACGATAAGCAAGATATCGCTGACGTGGCACTTGAACTCAACCTAGACGGCCTTGTGGTGTCCAATACGACGCTAAGTCGACCAGATTTCCTTAAGGATGCTGCAAAGGCCGAGACGGGCGGGTTGAGCGGCCTGCCAGTACGTGACTTATCTACTAAGGTCCTAAGCGATATGTACAGGTTGACCAAAGGAAGGATCCCGCTTGTTGGTGTGGGGGGTGTCTCTACTGGTCAGGATGCGTACGACAAGATTCGTGCTGGAGCCTCGCTCGTGCAAATGTACTCGTGCCTGATCTACGAGAGTCCTTTGGCTGTGCCACGTGCTAAGAAGGAGTTGGCTATGCTGCTACGCCGTGATGGCTACGAGAGCGTGCTTGACGCTATTGGTGCTTCCCATAAGTAGAGTAGACTTGGGTGACGCAGGTAGTTCTCGATGAGCATGACAAGCTGTTTCAGTACTAACAAACTCATGTGAATGTTTTGATATTCCATCAGTCAATTTTTTTTACAGTAGACAAGAGTCTGAAGGACTATCACTCCATGAAGCTAATCCGTGAACGAATATAAGGATGACCCGCCTTGCACTGCTTCGGAGACTCCTCCTGGCTAATAAAAATCTAAATCTATTGAAACATGAGCAGCGGACGGCAACCACCAGAACAAAAAATCTGCAGGCGATAATGACGGAGAAGGTGGATTGTAGACATGGAGGGGCAACGTCAGTAAGTTTGACGATCAAGACCAATGTACATGCACACGTAGAAGTTTTTTGTAGAAGTAGGGGATGTGTGAGATAAACTACTTCTGACCAACACTGGTGTGAAGTTGCATGCGCTTCTCCGAAGTTGTTCAGGTCCTTAAGTAGAAGCCGCAATCAGATCGCTTCTTGGGCGCACTGTACAGGATCATGTACTCTGCTTCCGTGCTTAAGGCCGCCATCGTAAGCTGCCGCTTGGGCTTCTACGATCTCGCACAGCTGCTCAGAGAGAAGACGTAGCAAGTTGTTCGGTGTCGTGTAGTAAATGGCCTACCCATTTCGCGTCCACTAAGCCGACCCAATCTTCCTTGTTTGCACCACCAAACACAATCTCAATATCTCCTTTTCTCTTCATACACTAACAAATAGTCTCGATGCCACACACGCAAAACTTGGCTACTTACACACAGCATGCACGCGTGAATGTCGCTTCATACATCAAAGCACGACGAGCTCGTAGTACGGGAGCTTGAACTTCATCCTCTAGTACTTTGATGAGCTTAAACTTAGTGTCAGCCGATGTGTGCACACATCTGTGCAGTTCTCCACGCCAGTTGCTCCGCGAGTAGCTTATTACACGCTGGCTGGCTCATGATGATCTCTTGGTCCACTCGCTTGCGGTAGATCTGGAGTTCCAGGCGGTACTTCAGTTCACCAAACTTCTTAGCACTAAGCTCACTCTTAGGTGCTTGCTTCATCTCACAAAACGTACTCGTGCTTCCTCGCTTTTTGCATCGTCCGAGGCTTGATATTATCTACTTGAAAAAGGATAGACAATCTATCTGTGCCCGTCGCAAATTCCACCTGATGCTCCACGGTGTGACGCGACTTCATGCCTCCACTCTTCTTCAAGCTGTCGAGATTTCCCACGAAAGTTCTGGAGTTGCTCGTCTTTTTCTACATTAGGTCTTGCCTATCTTCAGACAATATCCCACGAAGCCACACCGATCAGTCTTCGTGCAAGCTAAAACATTTTCTCATGGACGATGTGACGGCCTATCCCACATGTTGTCTGTATGCATGCTTGAAAATCAAACAAAAGATGGATAAACTATCGCAGAAGTTCTGCAACGGCAAGACTTGATCAGATTTCCACTTGAAAATCCGAAGAGTACTTCACTCGCACGTCAGAGTATCTGCAATGCCCTGTGGTACAGCGACGTGACTTCGTATATCCATTTTTCTTCAAGCAGTCTAGAGGTCTCACGCAAATTTATGGAGTTGCCTTCATCGTTTCCAACAGATCTCTCTTATCTTCAGACGATATCCCAGAAGCCGCACAACATTCTCTGAACAACCTGAATTGTTCTCATTGACGATGTGCCGGCTTGTCCCACATGTTGTCAGTATGCATACTACGTATAATACATGGTATAGGAGCTTTTTACAGCTAGTTTGAGCATACCAACACAACCATATTGTACGTAGTACACCAAATCTACAGATGATTCTTTTTCGTCAAACGATATGTACGAAGCCGTGTACGATCTCCTGAACGACGAGAAGAAATCAAATCCCAATTCTATCTTTAGAAACCGTACCTTTACGTATATGTTCAGTGCGGCTCAGTGTGACATGTACGTGCAGCTTGCCAGTACCGATACTGTCCGTACCTATTGGGCTGGCAAAAGGTGAGATCTTGCTCACGTCCCTGATATCGAGCACCAAACTCACGGCTTCATTCCCTGTATGTATGACATTTCAATCAAATGTGAAGCAAAGTCTCTAATATGTCTTGACTCGGACGGCCTATCCTAGAATATGTAGACTATAACCTTTTTCTTTACGGTAAAAATACGGATACTTCAGCATAAGATGGTGAGGTGAAAGGACAAGCTGGATATGCAAGGTCGATAAACTCCTGGGATCTGGTCTTGGATTTAGTACCTCATTCTCAAATTCGCGCTCAACAACACAAGTGGCTGGTTAGTGAAACATTTAGGCAAACGGTGCGATGGTGCGATTGTTCTACCAAGTCTTTACAGCGCTAGCACTAGTCTCAGGCACCTCTGCAAAGGTTAAATGTATATCAACAGACGACTACTTTGGTGGTCCACATGGTAAAGAGTTCGCTGATGTCGTGGATCGGAGCACCAATGTTACCGGCATCTTTCTTAATTCGGCAGAACGACTTGATGCCATTGGCATCATCATCGATGGTTATGAATCGGTACTCCATGGTGGTTATGGTGGAGAGAGGCAGTCAGTTAACCTTCATGACTCGAGAAAAATTGTTGCGATGGAAGTCCACAGGGCTAAGCATGATGACCACACAAGAATCGTCTACGTCGAGTTTACCGTCAGTGACGGACCAAACATCAAGGGTGGCACGTATAGCAAAGATCGTGACCTGGAAGACATTAAGACATTTATTCCTGAAGATGGGGCTCATTTGATTGGGTTCGTCGGAAGAGCAGGTGATGAGATCGATGCTTTGGGTGGCCAGTGGCTACATCCCAAATGTGTGAAAGGACTAAAGAAACACTCCGGCAACGTTGACGATGAATCTGAAGAGGAAGATGACAGTATCGTCATTGACGTAAACGACGACGACGACGAAAACTTTTCAATGGATCAGGGTCTTAAGAAAAAATTCAGCGTCAAAGGCAAAGACAACGATGACAACGATGACAATAACAACATTGACGACAACTTATTCATGGACCCAGATGTCAAGGAAAAATTCAGCGTCAAAGGCAAAGACAACGATGACAACGATGACAACGATGACAACGATGACAACGATGACAACGATGACAACAACGACATTGACGACAACTTATTCATGGATAAGGATGTTAAGAAAAAAATCAGCGTCAAAAGCAAAGACAACGATGACAACAACGACATTGACGACAACTTATTCATGGATAAGGATGTTAAGAAAAAAATCAGCGTCAAAAGCAAAGACAACGATGACAACAACGACATTGACGACAACTTATTCATGGATAAGGATGTTAAGAAAAAAATCAGCGTCAAAAGCAAAGACAACGATGACAACAACGCCATCGACGACAACTTTCTCATGGACCAGGGTGATTTAAAAAAAGTCAACGCCAAAGGCAAGGGCAAAGCCAACTCCGACATCTTTGACGACTCGGCTGACAAATCCGACAAGTCCGACAAGCTTGACGACGTCAGCGATGACGTCAAAAATGAAAATTTTTAGTTCTTGCTCCTTGGAAGAGTACTAGGATGTAATCGAAAGCCATTTGGTTGCCTACGACAAAGTTAACAAAAAAATAAACCTTTGGGTCGGTATTTGTGTTACATCGAATTATTATTAACATGCGTAGCCGATGATGCTTCCATATGAACTGTACAACCCTCAAGTTCTCCCTATAGAGAATACTCTGGGCGCTATCGACGAAGCTCACGACGCGTATGCAAAACAACACCCTTAAAGGAGGACAAAAACAACTTGCTGTTCTAGACCAAAAATGTACTGCCGCTACTATGACGAACCTTATTCATGGGGTCATGGGGTCAATTTTCAAAGAAGATTCTACATATAGCTCAGTGCGACGTATCCATAAACTTTGCACACAGTTAGCACTACTACAACAGCTCTACAAGCGAGAATCAGAGCTGTAGTCAGCGAGTGGATTGCACCGACGCACGAAAACTAGACGATTGTCAAATAGCACCGGGAAAGATCTCTAAGGAGCATTGTGCCACACCTTCTACTGGAGTAGCCACACTCATGGACAATTTCCGTAGCAGAAGTATAGCTAATAACAGCTCAGCTAGCACTTCGGAACGGACCCGTGATAGTGTACAAGTATACGTGGACATGTACAAGCCAGGGGTTACACTAGCACTACCAGGACAGCATCAGTTGAATTTGTATTTCCCGGTACGCGACATGGACTCGACATGCAAGAGGAATCTGACCTGCGCCAGGCAACACGAAAGCCTTCTACAATCTTTGAGAATGTGTCGGTGCGACCAAGTTTTGGGCATACATCATTGCGAAGTGGACACGAGCGGAGGTATCATCCGCTCAAATGGTCTTGTACCTTGCATCTGCTTGAAATTGGAGGTGCCCTTGAATTGGCTGATATGGACCATCATATCAGCCAACGCGCTGTCCAATGAAGGATAGACACGTGCAATGAGTACATTGGGGGATAGTCGACATACATAGTTGTGGTTTAAAAGAGTAGTACGCAAGGTTTCAACAGATTAGTTTATCAAATAGCTTAACTCTATTTTAATACAGTTCTCGAATTCCTACCTCTAAGCGTGTGTGTTTAAAAGTACAGATCCTCTGCCTCCCAGTGTACGAGAGATTTCGAGGCACCTGCTTAGACTGCGTCAGCGTTCGCAGATTTTACTGTTAAGATAATCGGAGGGTGCTTCGTTGCACTTGATATCACTTTGTCGTTCGTTCAGCGACCATCAATCAATCCGTTTTCTGAGGAACGTCATCACGCGACGCGTGCTATATGAGTGATCTCGAGTAGCAGGCAGTACAGCGTATGGCTCGAACCATCGGCGATATCGCCGCTGGTGCCAAGTTGCTTTTCCTGAGTGGAAACGAACAACATGCAACCACCGCCAAGATCATTCAACATGAGCTCGACGAAGCAATCACGAAACTCACCATAAGCAAAGTGTTTAACTGGCTCACCTGTTGAGAGAATAAGGCGCTCAACAATCTGACTTTGTAAGGCAATAGGGTTTTCAACAGTCTGAACTGTTGAGACAATAGCAAGCAGGTGCTTCTACTGCAAGGCCTACGCAAATGCGTCGACCCAAATCTATTAAGTTTGACGTATTCAAGTAAAGGGCAGCCGAAGTGTGTGGTGAAGTGCTTTCTGAAAATGTGAAGAGCCCAGGAAACAGTTGGATTGAAGGGACAAGGGGACGTGGATCAGGTAGAAGGGACCACGCGCCAGAGAGAAGGAACCGAAAGGGTACCTTGGAGTGAAGCGACCGTTGGCTGAGAATGTGAAGGGCCAAAAAAGAAAAAATCATTAACAGGGAATTAGTTAAACGATACCGAAAGGAGTCGGTACTCTCATTGGTAGACCTAGTTCCCTCATTGTTAGACCTGGTCCCTCATCGGTAGACCTGTGTCCATCGTCGGTAGACCTCGGTCTCTCATCGGCAGACCCCGATACCTTTTTGGTAGACCCCGGTCCCTCTGTAGTAGACCCGGACCCTCGGTAGAAGACATGGTCCATCGTCGGTAGACCTGTGTCCATCGTTGGTACACCACGGTCTCTCATCAGTATACCCGGTCCCTCTTTGGTAGACTCCGGTCCTTCGTCGGTAGATTCCGGTCCCTCTTCGGTAGACCCGGCCCCTCTTCGATATACCTGGGTCCCTCGAGGTTCAGCCACTTCTGATAAGTTAACACAAGGATCAGACCAGTCGACACAAGGAATTAGGGCTTCAGGCAAGGATAGAATAAAGGAGTTTAGAGGATAGGAATATATTGTATACTACTCAACTTGCGATCTACTTGGCACGTCTTCGTCGCGCTTAAAGGAACTCGAGTCTGGCCACACGCCTGTTCTGGGGAAGGGAAAATTTTTGTCCCCCCCTGTTGAAGACTGTCGTGTTATTAGACTCAAGTGCGAGCTGATCCCCACGTGGCACGTCTTCGTCGCGCTCAAAGGGACTCTAGTCTGACCACACCAATGTTCGGGTGGGATTATATATTGGCCCCCTTATTGAAGACAGTCGTGTAGCGAAGTTCAAGTGCGAATAGATCTTCTGGATATATTTGGCTTGTGAGCCCGTTGAGTAGCAAAACCCCCCAAGACCCGCTAACGGAAGCGGTCTTCCTTACCTCACCGTCCGGGAGAAAAGTAAAGGTCAGGTGGCTAATACCCCTGAAACAAAAAGGAAAAGGCCAAGACGACAAGCTCCCTGAAGAATTGGCTCTAAGCTCACTCTCGACAAGGTCGATCGAGTGGCCACCTACCGGCTCACCGATTTAAGCATATCCACTCGAGGCCCCCAGGTCTACCTCCCTCAAGGCAAAAGTCTACATCCTCACCAAGTCTTCCGAAGAGCGCAACCCGCCAGCTGACGGAAGAAAAGGTCCATACGCGGCATCGGGGTACCTCCTCCAACAGTCGGCAATCCGACACAGTGGGCGGTCTGGAGTCTTATCATAACATTTTAATAATCCACTTTACCACAATGGTGCACGTGGCCGATTCTTCGAAAGACGCAAGATTTCATGCGAGTCCCAAGAAGATAAAAATGCTCATGTCAAGAAGGAGCACAAGACCAAAGAGCCAGTGGAAGACCGATCGCCAGTGACTCAAGAAGAAAAAACAAAGGTTCTAAGGACCGACTGGACCTTGGGAGGGTCCTGGTTAACATGGTCGAGGTTGAACTTAAAGAGAAACCTAAATACTTTCCCTATGTCCTCGTAGAGAACACCATGAGTCATGATACCTATCATGATTCAAAAACAATCAGCCGACGGTGATTATTGAGAGGCTAAGGTCCCCCAAACAACAAAAAACAAGATCGCGCAGTCCAAGCCGACTAAGCTCCAAATGGATGCGCCAGGAAACACCCAGTCGACACGCCCCGAGAAGCCGGGACTGTCATTATGGTCGGACGCTGACGTCACAAAGGCCTACCACCAAGCAAGCTGGACACATTCTTAAGAATCGACCCCGTCGCAAATACTTTTTAGACCCGGCTACTTGTACAGATCACTGAACCGGTGTCGACCCTACCACGGCTGCAGACCATTAGAGACGTGATCACCGCGCTGGTCAACCTCTTTCGACAAGAAAACATGGCCACAGGAAGGTTTGATCCGGACGACCTGCTTTCCTGGAGTTCGACAGAATCACGACGGCGTTAGAGAAAACCCACAACCGTCTATCGACCCTCGTCGATACCAAAACAGCAAAGCCGGTAACACACCAGCAAAGAGGAACTACCTCTGACGACTCACATGCAAGCACCGTCCAGGGACAGCCAGACGACTCTCCAAGAATTTGCTTTCCACCCCCAAATGGATAGGAACACCGGATACCCATGGGCAAAGCAAGGTTCACCACATCTCCTGCCGCCGAGCGACCAAATATCAGCGCGGTAGTGGTCGCAGAGATCATCGTCAACTGTCTCTGTAACGGGAATGCCCCTTACACCGACAAGTGCGTAGCAGGATTCGCGAGATCCCGAAACAGCGACGCGTGGCAAAATAAAAAATCACTCCGGTTTTCAGCCAATGGAAAATCAGAAAGGACGATAAGTGGAATTTGATCGGCCACGTGGCGAAAATGCTGGAGGGGAAGTACCTACCTACCCGGCAGGTGATCCACAGACCCTTTTCGACGCGGTGATGGCAAGATTTTCGCAAGATCATTTAGTACCGCAGGCACACCCTTACGAGAGTGTGGACGGAGAGAGACCAGGGGTTCAAAGGACGACGGCTCAACATGACCAGAACCCAGGCATACAAATGCCAAGAGGTCATACGATGACCGACGTCGACATGATATCCGTCGGACCTTGCAAGTACGATCCCGACAACATGGATTCGAGATGTCTTCAGTAGATGATGGCAGATGCCGCTCTGGGACAAACACCAAACATGGTCCCTCGCATCAAACTCTCAGCGACCTCGAGACTCAAAGAATTTTATGGGAGATAAGAAGACGAAGGCTGAGCACGCAGCTGGGTGTAGACGGTCAAGACGGAATTTACAAGAGACCAGGCGCCAGATGAAGAATAGTGTATTGTTTTCGGAAGAGTGTTGACTAAACCAGCACAGAGCTGGTAACGTCAACTACATCGCTTGGTCCGAGAGAGCTGAATATACCTAGTTCAAGAATTTATGATACAATTCTGTCGTATGGGGGTGCATGTTGCCAGCCAGTGTTACCATGTGAAGAAAAGGTCGGAAGAGACCCCGCTTAATTATCTGTACCGCCTCAATGTGATTGGACTCAGGGCAAAGATGAAGATCAAAGATGGGTCGCCCAAGGCTTAAAATGTCATAACGATCTCTACATTTTGACGGTAGCCGGATTTAGCGGACAAGCTGATTATTTTGCGTCTGGCAGATGTGGAAGAACTGGAGAAAGTATTGACAACATGTCAACGGACAAAAGCACGACGAAGCAAGATGTTGTTTGGTGCCTTTTTTCAAAAGGCACCTGCTCCGCCGGAAAGACCGAAAGAAATGAA